TTAGGAAAGTTCAAACATAGGTGCAGGTTTTCCTCTGAGGCGGCTCTGACAGAAAATCCATGGGATGAAGGTGCAGAGAGCTGGACGCCCAGACGTCGTGTTCAATGAATTCAGGGAGGGTCTTGGTACAGCGTTCTTTGACCACTCTCATTTCGTATGTCCTAGAAGGATTTCGCCTGATGCACTGTTAGGATCCTCTGGAGTGGAAATTGGCTTATGGTACGGGGACCTTTTCCAAAATATTTTTCGAGTTGACGACTAGATTTAGAGTGGAAATCTGTTATTAAGTGGAAATCTCGATTCTCTGCCGAACGTTTGTCAGACGTTTGACGAACTGTGTGGAGGCTAAAGACCCATCTTGAAAATAGTATTTGTGATGGTTCCAAGACAAACTGTACACTCTTTTCCATGGATCCTGGTACGTGTGAGGAGAATGGAACCGCTGCTGCATTAGCGTGCCACTTTCTCTGGTCAAATTCCATGAGAACGGAGCCTACGGGAAGTGACACCTGGGTGATTTTCATACTCCGCCTGCGCTGCCGCACTCCTCACCATAGCAATATGCAACTTGTCTGCGTCCTCTGACTTGGTTGTCCTCTACCGCTGAATGTGTGTTTCGCAGCAGGATCTTGGTATCGACGCAAGTGCTGGACCTTGAGGATAGCGTGGGCGGAGTATGGAAACAGTACTTGGGCCCCACTTCCCATGTAGCCCCGCTCCCATGCACTTCTAGCGGAAAGAAATAGCATGCTAAGTATGCTAAAAATAGCACGCCACAGCAGCTGCGACCCATGCTCCTCACACATGGCAAGGACGTCCTCGTAGGTGAATGTACAATGTCTCCAATGTCAATGTCAGGCTGTCATCTTTCTGCTGAAGAACATCCTCGAAGAGAGTGATTTCCTTCAGATTCGGTTCAGCGTATATACAGGGGGGGGGGGGCAAAAAAGTCACTTCGACCGAGTCACATATCAGCAAAGTTTTCGCTGCCCAGACAGAGGACGTGGATACGAGTACCAGGGCGGAAGATACCCAAGATGTTCCTCTATAAGCAGGAGCTGGCTCTCTCACCTTCATGTACACCAAAATATGAAGTCATCTCCAGTCGCAGCCTGACTGGAGAAGACCTTTGGAATTCATGTCACCTCCAAACAGCTGCGAAGTACTCTCGATCTGGATGACCTCCAACATCGAGCAGCTCCGACAACGTCGCATCTTCACCACAGTCGCCAAGGCGCGGGTTGATGGTATGGACCGGACGTACCTGGAATGGAAAGACCAATATTTTCTTCGTGGACCCGGACTGAAGGTGAGCAACTCGTGAAGAATATCCTCCTCACATGTCGTCGCCCGTACCTTCTTGGAAACTTTGTACTGCTACAGGATTGGGTGCCACCACATGAAATCGAAGGGCGTTGGAAAAACTCTCGCCTACTTGGAATGGAAGGGCGTTGAGTACCTAAAGAAGATGGAATATCCAAGTAGGTCACCTGACCTGAATCCCCTCAATTACCCGGTTCGGGCGGAGTTCAATAGGGTGGTCTACGGTGGCGGAGAAATCGACTATCTCGCTGATCTCAGGCACCACATCGCGGTCGCGTGCCAGAATCTCTCGATGGCGCTCGTCCAGAAGGCTGTGGCGGAGTGTCATGATAGTATTTAATATGCTCTTTAATATGGTGGTAAAAATGTCCGATCAGAATTTAAAGTGTAACTTATAGCGCCTCGAAAGTCAATGAAGAAAAGTGACTTTTTTGGCCACCCCTGTATAACAGCGCCAGTGATTTGGCTCCACCCTTAATTCATCCTTAATTCTGTGGCTATTTTGATTTCCCTTCTCACTTTCAGTCAAGCACAGGATGGCTACACTGGCTCGATGTTTCAATCGGAAAAATGGTAATGTCGTTTCCAGCCCGTATGGGTCCACTGGATGTGATGTGTCAGAATCCTGGCAATGCTATCATACACACCGGACACGATAACGGTAAGCTGTCGTGGTCTTCTTATGAACTGTTTACGTGATTTACTAAGTGATTCGTACTCACTTGTATAGGCCTACTTCATTTTCAATGAATTACCTCCTAGTGATATATCTTTATGGCGCTGAGTGACGCATGCGTCAGTTTCGCCCAATCTCATCTTTCACTGAAATTGTTATGATAGGTTTATTCGATACCAGTCAGATCGCCCGGTCCGAATGGTTTCAAAATATTTTTTTTTTGAGAATACGCCACTTTTACCGTTTCATTTCTTGTATATCCCGCCCCTTCCTTCGCTCCCTAGAGACAGTCGTCGAAATTCTCCATACCGCGCTTCCCTTTTTGATGAGGAATCACAGAATGAACTATTGCCATGGCACCAACCATTTGTTATACTCCCTACGGTTATCTCTCCCTAACCTTATCTGCCAAATCCATAGCTCAGTTTCACCTTGCTCCCCATTCCCTGAGGTATTGCAGATGCATTAAGAAAATTTTTGTCCCTCGGCACCATTCACTTTACCGGCGAATCCCGCCCAAGGCGGAGTGCGCTTCCCTCATTTCGTCGACGACTAACTGCCATCGTCTTCTTAACTTCGCCCTCGTGGTTTTCTGGAACCGATGTATGGTTTTTTGAATAGGTAGCACAACTGTGCGCACGCCCGTCTACAGTGGGCGGTGGCCTCATGGCTTGTTTATAAGTGTTCAGTATCTTGGCCCCATTAACCCTACACACCCCACCCTTGAACCCGCCCTTCAAACTGGAGCTCTTCGCAAGTAATTGCCGATTCCAGACAGACAGGAAGAACAGGCAGCACAGACAGACAGCACAGACAGACAGAACAGAACAGCGACAGACAGACAGACTGAGCTGTACGACTGACTGATGCTGAACGCCCTTCAAACTGGCTTTATCGAAGATGATCCGAATTCCAGCGGACAGGCAGACAGACAGACAGACAGACGTTGCTTTCATATTAGTTAGGATTATCTAATTATTGAGGAATTCATTTACATTCTTTAACAGTTTATTTTGTACCTGGAATGAGCATTTTTCACAGACCAGAAACTGAGAAGTGACGAGATGAGATGCATAGAGAATTAACGCGTCGGCTAAAGTTAAGCGTCTATATATATTAGATTTTCACTTTTTTTAAATTTACGTTGGTTCACGAATTCGGACATTTTTCAACAATCGGAACTTTTCAAAACCAATCGCGACACTTTTTCAAATCATCCCGGACACTTTCAAGTCAAATCGGCACACTCGCACAGGGCAGTTGGATAACTAGACCACACTGAGTACTGCTGCAAGCCCCGCCCCAACACCCCCGCCCACCTTTCCAGCGCGGTCACGGTTTTCCAAAATGTTTTATGAAATCTGCTTCTTCGACTTTTTCTCAACTTTTGCTAGTTGCACACACACTTTAGCCAAAAGGATTGGTGCTGATGCAGATCTGACCGCCCACTTCACAATCAAGTGATGTAGTTCTGAATTTTTATAACTTCTTTCGACGTCGGTTTTTCACATTCAAATCTCTCACGAAACGAATAAGTATGGTTTTTCCAAACTGGCAACTACGCCCCGCCCGTCTGACACGACCTTTTTTTCGTTTTTCGCGGAATTTTGATTTTTCTTCCGAATTTTCACTTTTTTAGGCTGTGACAAGCGGTCCCGCCCACTAATGGAAGCTCCGCCCACTTTGTAGAAGCCCTGCCCACTTCGAAGATAATGGCAAGCTCGCCAGCTTGTAGTGCCGTAAAAGCTGGATTATGCCTCTCATCACATAGAAATGAAAAAAGGAAAGCCACAAAAAAAAGAGATAACTTTATTCCGGGATGACGAGAGAGGCCATAACCTGCTGTTAACGTCTAGATCGCCGAATCTGCATCATTTGGTCTGAAAGTTGGGCGGTGGTTTTTTGAACTGGTTCGGAGCTTCATTAGTGGGCGGAGTGTCGCTTGTCGGCAGTCTAGAAAAATGTGAAAGAAAAAATGGACAAGAAAAATTATTTCGGCGTAAAAACGAAGTGGGCGCTGGTCAGAGGGGGCGGGGGCCTGGGTGTTACAGTTGTGTAAAGCTTGATCTAATTCGTTTGTGAAGGGGATTGAATGTGAAAAAACCGACTCAACCGTTTTGTTGAAAATGTTGAAAAATTCAGTACCTTACTTACATCATTGATTGTTATAGTGGGCCGGAAGTCAGATTCTGCATCAAGGTACCATCATTTTAGTTGAAAGTGATGTAAGTGAAAAAGTCAAAGAGCATATTTTCATACAACATTTGTGGAAGACCGTGACGCGTGGAAAGGGTAGGGAGGAAGTGTGTGGGCGAGGGCTTGCAGCCAGTACTAGCGTGGTCTAGTTTACAGTGCCGTGCGTAGGAGGTGTGATTTGAAGAAGTGGTCCAATTTGGTATTGAAGAATGGTACGATTTGGTTTTGAAAGTGCTCGATTTGGATTTGAAAGTGTCAGCCTTAAGTGAAAATGGTTATAGACTTCAACACTAACGGTCGGTTACTGGGGTCTGGCCATCGAAGTGAGTAGGGTTGTTGATGGCGAGGGGATTGGACCTACTTTGTACGAAGGAGGGATTCAGTCTATGAGGGGGCCCGCGAAATGCATGTTCTAGTGTTTAAAAACAGCTACTCATAGTCCTGTGACTGAAGTAGTAGCACTGTTGCCTTCATCTTTAATCTTGCCAAGGTAGTTCACAGTTCAGGCACCGTCTGTTTGTGGTCTCCCAACGTAAAAGAGCCGTTGGTGAAGATGCTTGCACATCAGGCTTCTATACGGGGTATGGATATTGATCAAACGGGCAAATATATGGTGACGACTGGGCTCGACAGAAAATGCAGGTAATAAAGGAGAGCGTATCAAATTGTTCATGTCTTTTGAGAATTTCTTTACTCAAGGGTATGGGATGTACGAATGTACAAGCAGTTACATGCGTTTTCTCTCCCATTTGGACTTTCCCATGTTGCCATCAGTCAACGTTTGGCCGTGGCATGTGCCATAGGGAACACAGTACAGGTTAGTATTTCTTAGTGCTTTTTCCTTTTCTCGTAAAACGCTCCCACGCTCTCTGAAAACGTTGTTGCTGTGCTTACACAAAGTCGTAGGCATTGGTTTTAAGATATTCAAAGACATGCATCTTGGCGTCTGTCATGAACCCTACCTCGCCAATCGTTTCGGTGGTCCCGTCACGGATTTAGCCTTCGTGCCGTACGAGGATGTCCTTGGTGTTGGGCATGCAAATGGATTTACAAGTATGCTTGTTCCAGGTCAGTTTTTTTTCCTAGAGCAGCGTTCAGACTTCGCGATGATGCGCGACGACGCGCTGTAACGCGCTATAACGCGAGTCGACGGACACCTCACAACCGCGCTCCAATGCTACAAGCGGGAACGCAGCTACAGACGGGTATCGATCGGTGCCGTCCGCTACTGCTTTGAGAGAGTATGCGAGAATAGGAGGGGGAGTGCTGCCCAGTCACGCATGGATCGGCGGCTGCCGCTGTTTTTACGGAATGGGCTGTACCCTCCTATCCTGCCATACTCTCTACAAGAAGTAGCGGACGGCACCTATCGATACCCGTCTCTGGCTGCGCTCCCGTCTGTAGCATTGGAGCGCTGTTGTTACGGTAGCACGTCGATGCGAGTCATCGCGGAGTCTGAACACTGCCTGAAGTGTGTTTTACCTTTACTAACTACGAGATCCTCATTCCTACTGTAGGGGCTGGTGAGGCTAATGTTGATGCCATACATGCGAATCCTTACGAGACGAAGAAGCAACGCAGAGAAAGGGAAGTGAAGCAGCTGCTCGACAAGGTGAGTTAAACCTGTTTTATGTTAGGTGTGAGATTCCTGAGCATTTCATCAGTAATGTCGTCAATGTTCCAGCTTCAACATGACCTCATCGGACTTGACCCGCAGGATATTACTCGTGTAAACGAGGACTTGTTAGAGCGAGAAATGGAGGAACGAAAGAAGATTCTTTACGTCCGACCAATAGATGTGCAGTACACACCCAAACACAAAATGCGTGGACGGGGAACTGGATCTCATAAGGTCTGTTGTTTCATTTCTTTACTCGAGAAATGTGTAGCGAGCAACATCAGAAAATATTTTTCACTTTTCCGAAATTCCAGAACGCTAATGTCTCGATTCATGAAACCTATTACTGCATTGGGATCATGATGTCATGCTCTTAGAGTATTTTTTGCCACAACAAATCTCCATTTGATTTGGTAACCCCGACCCCTCTTCTTTTTCACATCAAGCAACAAATCTCCATTTGATTTGGTAACCCCGACCCCTCTTCTTTTTCACATCAAGCTGCACAGATAAAGATGGCAGTTACGGCCATTAGCAGTAAGGCCTTCGCTTTTCGATAATTTTGATCGTCCTGTACAAGGGGTGTTCAATGTATTGTCGGTATAGGGATGAAAGAAGAGGCAGAAAATTCTGAGTAAAATTTATTTTTCACTGTAGTCGTTTTTAACCAAATACACTTGCTTGCTTGGAAAACTAATTTTCATTCCCCTCTAAATTATTTTTCCTCCTTGTCCCCAAAATGTACGTTGATTGCCGCCTCTTAGCTCTTCATTTACAAGAGAAAGCTTTAACGAAGTTCTTGTTTCAGTCGCGAAAACAAGGAGCTAATTAATAATCATTACTCAATTTTATTTCGTTTCTGAATTTCCTTTCTTCTCAAATTTTTAACTACATTGTTTTCAAAATGTCGCGTAAGTCATTCTGATCTTTTTCACCACTCTGATCACTAGAATAACTAGAATACGTCGATGATCACTAAATGAAATTTTGAATTTATACCCTCAGGGAGCGAGTGTCGTTACCTATTGAAATGATTTAAATTCCATTGTCACTGACAAGTTATTCCCGATACCGAGAATACTTTCAACGACCCTCAGGCGGAGTGCAGAAGTAAAGCTTACAGTCTGTAGAGCCGCGATCAGTCGGTGCGGTTTCAGGAGGGTAAGAATGAGACTAAACACGGCGTTCCTCCACTGGTATACATCGCGACTTTATGTCAAGGAGTTGCATTCCATCCTGCTCATAAAATAGTGCACTGGTGAGAGCTGAGCAGAGCTCTGGTCCCTATGGGCTTGAAAACTCACCTGGTATTCCTGCGAGAGTGCTTTCCTGCGGCTCGCTTTTCCTGAAACAAAGCTCCTCCGAAAGAAAGCCACGCCTGCGTGGTGCTGAAATAGCCTGAGCTATTGTGGAAAGTGTCAACGCAGTGGGAGTAGAATGCTCACTAAAGCTGAGTAGCTGAAAGAGGCTTCGTCCCAGAATTTTCTCGCGGCGGAGACTTTGGGAGCAGAGAGCGTGGGCATTTGAGGCTGGGGAGAATGCCTCGCAGCTTCCAAGGATTAATTACCGCTCTAAACTTTCTCTCAGGGTGGTCATTTGAAGGTTAAGCAATGCGTAACTGCATAAATACCTGACATTAACTGAATACTCAAGAAGTAAATCTGCTAATATATGTTTATTTTTGCAGGAGCACCGGAAAAATATGGTGATTGATAGTATACGAAAGGAAAGGATCACTGAGAAAAAGGAAGTGGAGAAAGAGGTGTTTGGAAAGGACCCTCGCTCTCGAACCATCATCAAAGCCCACTAGTATTCTCGATCGGTTTCGCAAGTGAAATTTGTTCGTTTTTCTCTATTTTGTCATTTCGCTGTTGACTACGCTACTGTTCCCTGTCGTTATTGTGCGCGTCGCTGTTCGTGACACACCGTTGTTTTATCTTTCTTGTTACAGTTCCGATCAAAGTTGTTATTGCACTTTTATGTTTCATCGTTGGAAATGTCATAGAGAATACAGTGGATAACAATCGCATACAAATCCAGCAAATAACAATAAAAGCTATTCCAAATGGAATGAAAATGTCGAGATTGTAGTATTGCAGGAAGGGAATCCGTCTACCTTCAACGAGTAATTCTTTCACACCTCCATTTGCTAGCACAAATTCAGTGTATTTTATAAGCCTTTCAGAGGCGTTGAACGGCTTTGTTCGTATCAGTGTAGATATCCTCACGGCTGCTTGCTTGTATCTGCGAAAAAAAAGTATTAAAAGCACGCCGTGTTCAGCAGTAGTGATTTGTGCGGCTCAAATACTAGTGAGTTGATAGTAAATAACACCAAGTAAAAAGAAAAGTACTATGAACCTGCCGGAAATGCCCCATATAGAATCTGATGCTAAACCACGCTTGTACGTGCATAAAGCGAAGAGAGGGCGCGGGTTGGGACGAGCTTTCACTTGTTAGTGCCGGCTCTTTCTCCTTGTTACCTCGCTCTCACAACTCGAGAGAGCTAGTACCGGAACAACCGCACCAGGTAGCAATTAAAAAGAGTGGGGCGTCGGTGTAACCAGCGGGCGGAGCCGTAGGTTCCCGCTTGCGAGCTTTGCCTTTCTCTCACATATCTTTGAACTGACGAATGTACTGTATCCTTCACGGTTTGCCGTTAGGACTATCATTCTTCTAAGGAAGGCAGTGTCTGAGCAGGTAAATGAACGTTTGGCTGAGCCCAGTAAAGGAACCGTTTTGAAGGCCAAAACCACGATCATTTTTTCGCCAATACACAGATAGTGGCACTAGGAATTCGTATATTAGACAGACAGGTTTCTGAGTACACTCGATAGTGAAGTAAAAGAGAGAAAACATGCCAACTGCCCCAGAATAAATACCGAGCACATAATCCCCCGATCTCAGTTTGTACGCTAGTCCCAATCTACCTCCATCTATCAACCAATACACCCTTAACGCAACAGCTTCTCCCTCGCGTCAAGAACCCAGGGCGCGTACAGACGTGATTTCCATGCTTATTTGCTCTTCGCAGGCTTCGTTTTTCACTGAGAAAACGGCGGCCCTTGAGGCACGGCATACAAGTTTGAAGGGCAAGATCAATCTTAGAATAAAGGAGGTGTAACTGAATCTATATTCCGCTATAGCGCCCCTCCCTTACAATTTTTTGTCGCGAAACCGCTACAAAGTTGTTCCTCGCCGCCACAGTACCCTATCGACGCCATATTTTCAACTTCTATACCTGATCGCGGACCCTACCTTTAAGGCGAGTGATACCTTTTACCCTAGTCGCAAGTCATGTGGCTGCGTATGTGCTCGGCGAATTTGCAGCTAGCTGTACGTGGCTGCAAAAGCGATAGTACTGCACGGAGATTAGCAGAGTACGGGAGCGCACTCCGTGTGTCGATGCCCCGGTGCTGCTGAGAAATACTTTTTACAGAATGTTCTCTGGAACATCGCTGAGCATGAGCTTACTTTCACTTGTCCCTATTCCCCAGTACGTTCTCGAAAACGCCTCAAAATACAGGGTGCACAAGGCGAAGAACCTTACTTCTCTGTCGCGGTGAGCGCGACGAAAAAGGCGTAAGCGAGGTTACACTCCTTGAACCTTTGTGGATGGTCTTTTTGTAGACAAAAGGAGTTCAGCTGCTGACAGTCCACCAAGAGGTACCAAACAACATGTAGCGAGTCAGAGTCATGGAATGGATTCTTTGAGGGAAGGCGACTCCGGTTTGGGTGAGTCACGTTTTGCCTGAAAAGCTGGAACGCGTGGGATCACTGTGCCTACACAACGCCATGAAAGTGAGAATGCAGAGAAAAGCAGAAAATTGACTTGATTAAAGGGTTCAATTTCTAGTTGTCCATAGGCCTCGACCAGCTGGAGCCGACTGTGGCTCCGTGTACAGACTCACCGTGCGCGTATGCGGCGCGGTTTCTTCACGGCGACGGGCGGGCGAAGGGTGATCGCTTGCGCCTCCGCCACTGTGCTTCAATCAGAAGCCCCTTTTATGCCCCATTATGTGGAAGGAGGAGGAGAGAAAAGAGGATTGAACAAATAGTGAACGCTCATAGGTGAGTTAGTGGTAATGGTGAGCAGAGAATACAGAAAAGTCGAGAATCAGAGCGTATTATTTCAGTCAACAGCGGAACTGGCAGAATGATTCCCTTCGAATGGGACGTGACGTTATAGCGTTATAAGGTCACAACCAACTGTTGGCAATTTGCCAAACCTCAGCTTGAACTTTCGTGTAAAAGCTGCTTGCGTCGTTTTCACAATCGAAGGGAACTATGCCGCCAGTTCTGCCATTCACTGAAA